AACACTGGGGTGACAATGAAGCAGAAATTTAAAACTTTCTTCCATCCACTTCTCCATCTGGCTCTTTCTCTAGATTTAATTATTTATTTAAATCATGCACATGTGTTCATATCACACAGGCTAGTAAACCCACAAAGAAGGTTTATTTTTAATTTTGCAAGACTTGTTGCAACATGAGCATGGTGAAATTATGTTATATGGAGAAATCTAAGGTGATCAATTTGTCACAGGTTTTTTTTAAACTTTTTATTTCCATATAAAATGTTAAATGAGCCAGGCTCATTTAACTTGGTTAGTCAAATAGCAATAGCATTTAGGCTTATATACTGCTACACAATGCTTCATAGTACTTTCTGACAGTTTACAATGTAAAGCATTATTTGCATAATGCCCCCAATCTGGGTCCTCATTTTACCAACTTCGGGATGATGGAGGACTGAATCAACCTTGAGCCCTGTCAGGACTGAACCCAGGCTTGGGCAGAGTTTGCCTGCAATACTGCAGTTGAATCAGTGTGCCACCAGGACTCTTCTTCAAATGCAGGAGGGAGTCGTGTTAGGGCTTCCTTTGAATATATTTAATTCAAAGTAATAGCCAACTGAGTAGAAACCATTTTTAAAACTAAAAAAAATATGTATTTGCATTTTAAATGAATGCTTAGGCACTTATTCTGCAGAATCTAGCTTTAAACCTATAGATCCTATATGATCATAAAATGTCAATGCTCTGTTGTCTAAAGTCAGAATGATCTGTCTTTTGATGTTTTGAAGTTACACTTAATATGTTTACAAGGGGCAGGATGATAACGCAAGTTGGATAGAGCAGCGGTCCCCAATCTTTTCAGCTCGGCAGACCAATGGAGGCGAAAGGTTGGGAGAAGGGAGGGTTTTGCTCATGCATGCACCACTTTTACAAATGCAGCTTCGTATACACATACATGCATGCTCGCCTACCACTTCCTCAGCCTGGTTCTGAATGGGCTGTAGCCGGGCACTGAGTTGCGGATGTGGGTTGGACAACCTCTGAGATAGAGCCAGGAATTTGTTTTGTGGAATAAATGATTGTGTTTGTTGGCTTTCAACTGCTGAGATCTTCTTTTACCTTAGTTACAGGTAGTCCTCAAGTTATGACCACAATAAAGCCCAAAATTTATGTTGCTAAGAAAGAAATTTGTTAAGTGAGTTTTGCCGCATTTTATGATTTTTCTCACCACAGTTGTTAAGCGAATCATTGGAGTTCTTAAATTAGTAACATGGTTGTTAAGTGAATCCCCATTGACTTTGCTTGTCAGAAGATTGCAAAATGTGATCACATGACCTCAGGACACTGCAACTGTCATAAATGTGAGTCAGTTGTCAAGCATCTGAATGTAAATCATGTGACCATGGGAATGGTGCAATGGTCATAAGTGTAAAAAATGGTCATAACTCACTTTTTTCAGTGCCGTTATAAATTCAAATTGTCACTACATAAACTGTTGTAAGCCAAGGACTGCCTGTATTTGCCATTAAAATATATATTTTAGTACTAATAATCATTTTGCTATATCCAGTATAGAAGCATTTTTTTCCAAAATAGGCCAGTGCGAAGTTTTAACATGTGAATGAATGGAATGGCCAACCTTTCCATTGCAATTCAGATCCATACTCCTCTCTGTGCTAATTCCACAAACACTTAATAAAACCATGTTTCAACTGGTTCCTCCTTGTGGATAAGAAAGACTAAGTAACTGCAGTATAATTGATGTCCAAAGCCTTTGTTTTTTGTTAGGTTCTTCTAGATTGCTTGGTTCCAACATTGAGAATTCTAAACTAATAAGACCAATAGCTGTTAGAAAAAAATCTAAGAGTTGTGTTTCCAAAGCAACTGGAGGATGCCCAGTAACAAATTTCAAAATGCTAATGCTGGTTCCTATTGGTCAGTTTCATAAAAGACATGGACCATATTGTATAGGTAGTCATCAACTTACAACCATAATTGGGGCCAGAATTTCTACTGCTAAAACAAGGCAGTCTAGGTGAGTCATGCCTGATTTTAACTTTATTGCCATAGTTGCTAAGAGAATCATTGCAATTGTTAAATGAATCAGGCAGTAGTTAAATTAATCCATTTCCCCCATTGACTTTCCTTGTCAGAAGCCAGCTGTGAAGGTAACAAATGGCAATCACACAACCGCAGGACACTGCAGTCATTGTAAATGCATGTCAGTTGCCAAGCACCCAAATTTTGATCACACTTGGCAGTGGAGATGCTACAACAATTGTTAAATTACTAATAAAGGAGATTGTAGCCCAGGGTTGACATGAGGGGTCCTTGGTGCTCTCTGAGCTTGCTTGTTTTCTGGTAGATGTTTCATTACCCAAACTAGGTAACATCATCAGTGCTAGTCATAAAGGCAAGGATTGGTCATAAGTTACTTTTTTCATTCTGTTGTAAGTTTGTGTGATTGGTAAAAGAAAGTGTTGTAAGTCGACAATTACTTGTTAACTGCATATGGATTTAGTTGATTGTACATTGTGAAAATAGGTTGTACATCGAAATTGCAACCCCACAAGAGAGCTGCAATTTCTTCCAAAATATGAATCCTAATTCATTTTCCATTCTGATTTTGTAAACATTTTTTTTTTATTTTAAAAAACTATGTTCCCTAAAACTGTAAGAGGGAGGCTACATCTATGTCCTTGTGCTTGAAAGACAGTATATTCATGGTTCAATAAAGCTGTATCCTTGAAACTAAAATACAATACCAATGTAAAACAGTCATTGCTAAGGGTATAAAATGCTTATACTTATTGCAACTTCATTTTTTTCTAACACACTTCTCTAAATAAACACTATGACAACTTTTAAGAAAAGGGGTCAAGGAAATTGAGAAAAATGGGATCATCCGTGCACACGTGTTCTGGTTACATACACTCCTACCCACATAAATACATTCACTTGGCAAATACTATGATTTAGAAAGATTTATTTCTTTATTCTTGACCTTAGCAATATCTTTCAAAATAGGATTCACAGGAATAGCCTCTCAAGATAAAAGCATCACTATTTGTCAGTGAAATACTTTCTAACAAAATGTAAAGGCAATGAGAGACTTTTATACCGTTTGTTTGTTTTGTGCCTTCCCATCAATTTATCTATGATGACCATATGGACATGTCCCTAAAGTTTTTTGACAACTTTGTTTGTTTGTTTTATTTCATATTTCTTAACCACCCATCCCTCTCCCACTGTTTTGAAGGGGTTTGCCATTGCTTTCCTCCTAAGGCAGAGCACAGCTCAGGGAGGGTCCAAGGGATTGCATGAGAGGTGCACCACAGGTTGGGGAACGCTTGCAAAGGTGGAAGGGAGGATCTGGCATGAGCCAAAGGGAGCATGTGAGAGTGTACAAATGTGCAAGGGGATACTTGAGGATGCAAGAAAATCTCAATAAAGGTTAGGGAGGGTGCATGAGGTGCAAGAGTAGGGAAGGCTTTCTCCAGCAACTTGGGAACTTCCTTGCCAGCTTCCCCATTAACTTTCTGGGGAAGATGACAGGGAAGGCTACAATTGTTGATTAGGTGATCCTAAGTGTTGATTAGGCGATCTTAAGTGTGAACCAGTAACCAAATTCCCAGATTGTGATCATGTGATCACAAGCAAGCTGAGATGCCCAAAACTCCAAGGACCATTTGTAACCACAGTTTATTCAGTGCCATTGTAACTTTAGACATTCCCTGAACAAATAGTCATAGGTTCGGGACTACCTGTAATAACATGTTTTACGTTTGAGAGATAAGATGCAAATACTGTAGGTACTCTACTTGTTACTAGAGCAAGTGGAAAGATTTTCTTATTTGCTTCCCTTATTCATTTCTATTTTCTCTTTTTTTAAGTCACAGGTTAGCAGTACTCTGGCAAACCCAGAACCCTCAAATTATAGTTTTTAATCTCCTGGTTGAGATTTTAGAACATAAATTGCAAAAAACCACATTTTTGTGACATAAGATTTTGGCCTATAGTTACCATGTCATCCTACAAGATTGCTGAATTTTGCTGCAGTTTGTAATTCTCAACTTTTCTTGGACTCCTTTAAATCATTCTACAATTATTCAACCCTGTGAAGGAGATTTGAAATGTTTATAATATTAACAACTGCTAACTTTGTGTAACAATCCTGGATATGGGAAATATTTCCTTATTTTACAAAAAAATGCTTGTTACCAGCTTCAGATTCCATCATTTCTCATTCAGCATTTCTAATCAATTAGCTTTTTATAATTTAATTTGTACATTGGTTTATGTTTTATTTTAATATTGTATGCCAACTTTCAGGATAAAACAAAATTAAATGAGATAAAGTAAAATTTAAAAATATTTTTTTAAATTATTTTTTTATATTTTTATTTACATATTAAAACTAGTACTGGACATAAAATCATTCCAACTCAAAACTAAAGCACAATTTACAGTACATAATATCAGATAATTAAAGACAACAGTTGAAAAATCCAACTAAAAATCAGATGGAACAAAAAAAAATTAAGAGGCAGCCAAACGTGTCTCTGGGAAGGACTTGCAGAGAAATTGGGCTGCTATTAAAAAGTCTTCTCCATTGTGATGGAACTTCGGTTGGCATCTTTTTTTGGCTCTTTTGGAAAACTAAAGTAAATGCCATGAGTGACAGCTTTTGAACAGAAGTTTAATGGTCCAAACACATTTGTAGGGCAATAAGGTGAGAGATTTGCATGACTTGGAAATCACAGCTATATATCCTTGTTCACACTAAAGTTATGCTGATGCTGCTAGGATGTCACTCTGGATATTTCAGAGGTTTTTTGTGGGTGGAATAACATTAACTTTTGGAGTAAAACCCTGTATCTCAGTGAACAAGAATACGTTCACTGTTCTGCAAAGTGCTGTTTTAATTTCAAGAACCAGTTTGTTTGACATTAAGTATTGTCTCTAGTAAAGTGTTTCCCCCCACCTTTTCTCTCTTCCCTGTCTTTTCTGGCTATTAGTCTGAAGTGTCCTGGATACCCAACAAGCACTATTCTGGCATCTATGGACTGATGAAGCTGGTTCTCACAAAGACACTTCCCCCCAATCTTGAGCGAGTCATTGTCCTTGATACTGACATTACCTTTGCTACAGACATTGCTGAGCTTTGGGCTGTCTTTCACAAGTTCAGAGGTACTGTAATGCCTTTATTTCTTATTATTTGTGTTAATATTCAGGGTTTATAAAGTTCTTTGAATTTTGAGGTGTCTGTGCCCTTTCCTGCTGTTATTTCCTCCTTTCAGACTGTTGTCTATTAATTTACATTACCACAGTTAATTGAAAACCTCTGGGAATGCATTTGTACATGAGGTGTCTCCAGTGAGGAACAGCATAAATAGTAAGGTGTGAATATTTAAAATTGTGTAAATGTTTGTTGGTCTGTATTACATCTAAGATTGCAGCGATCATTATAATGGCAAAGCTGATGACTGAGGGAGGAGGATCAGTTCAGAACTGGTTGTAAGGACAAGCAACACAATCACAAAAGCAGAATGACAAGATGAAGTCGAAGTATTGAATACTCTTTCTGCGTTGTTTTGCATAGCACGTAAGAAGAGAACTTCTAAGTGTAATGCAGTACCTTGCTGAAAACTCAACATAAACAAGTATTATTAAATTAAAATCTAAAGATGTATTAGCAGATTATTTTCATCTTTTCACCCATCTCCCTATAACCCCATGAATTTTCTGGGAAGCTAGAAAGCTCTTTGGAACATACTTTTCAGGAATATAAAGAAAATCCGCCCGCCCCCCCCCCCTCAAATCACCTTTTTCTTACATACACTCTCATAAAATAAGAAATTGTTTTAGACAGAATGAACAAGGATGTTCATTGGAACATATGTTATCAATTATTAATTTTGTTAACAGGTTGGTGGTAAAAATATCCACCAAACTGTTCCAGCAAAGCTATCCAACTATTACATTCTGGCCAAAGAAATGTTTTTTTAAGCAAACAGATGAAATGAACTCATACTAAAGTAATGAAAGGATTATCTCATTTATCTGCATTTGCAAATATCGTATTGTTAGTTGCATTTCATCTTTCTCTTGTCTTTTAATAGTAATAATACCCCCAGTAAGGCACTACCTTGATCTGATTGTGGGCATATATGTTCTAAGGAAGATTATGTGCCAGAATTACGCCAGAGGTTCAACCTTACTGGACAAGTCTCATCAGAGGAGCCAGACAAAAAGTGTCCTTTCCATAAGCAATCTGGTGAAACATAACTTACAGAAATTCATACTGTATTGGTCATTGCCCAAATCAACAAGGACCATGCTAGATGTTAGAGTTTCTGGATATCTGTTGCTGCGCAACCAGGACCAGCAGCTGCAGGACTACTGGAAGAAAAATTGCTTCTCTGTCACAAATATACAAAGACTGAAAACAAAGAAATAAAGATTTGCTCTTACAAATAAAGTTCAATGAGAATAGATACCTGAAAAAAATGCCAGTTATGGAAAAAATAACATCCATAACATCCATAACCAGAGGCTAGCAAATCAAGGTCAATTTATAGTATAAAATAAAGTATTCACAGAAGCAGATTGGAAGAACTGCAAAAGTCTCCATCCAGGGCAAGGAAATCAAAACCTTTCCAGAAGTAGCTCAGACAATAGAGACAAAAAGGGGGAGTCAGCAGTAGAGAAAGCCAATATATATATTGAATCATTTTCATTCCCAAACTAGGCATCCCATCCTCTACCTTCTTTTCAGAATAAAACAAAACTCTGTAACTAAAAAGACAAAAGGAATTGAAACAAAGAATAGCTGAGCATCTAGAACAGTGTAAAAGCAACAGAATAAGGTTGCCTGCATTGAAACTTGTTACTAAACAACAGTTAGCACAAGTATTAAGAAATGCCAGTACTATAGTATCAAATATAAACAGATCACTGCAAGAAACAAACCAACTGATGGTACAGCACAGCTGCTGTTATAATTGAATACCTTGGATGGAAATCAACAGAGAAGAAAAAGAAGCCAAAGTGCATCACTAAAATAGAAGGTCAGTTTGAAAAATAAGATCAGAATGCTAAGATCAGGTTCAAGTAAACTAGAGCATATGAAAGAAAAGAAGCTGAAGAACAAGAAGACTAAATACTATCTGATTGATAATTATCACCTTGGTACAACGAATATCACAGAAGCACTAGAAATAATAAAGCAACAAATAACAATCATAGCCAAAAAACCCAGCAGACTCAAAGCTCCAATTGCACATGCTATAAGAAGAGTCTCCAGTTTCAATTGAATCAGAAACCTCTCTACCAATCCATCTGTGTAACACCGCAATGAACTAGTGAACACCTGACAAAGAAGAAACAGTGCAATTCAAATTAAATTAGGAGCCCTGAATATGAAGATGAGAAAAATAGTGACACAGAGAATCATGCCGTTTTCCAAGCAGAGATGATAAAAGACTCTATTTATCAAAGAGAATAGATGGATGTGGAATGTTACAAATACATCAGACAGTTGAAGAAGGAAAAAGGGTATTGATATGTGAAGGACAGTAAAGAAGATGCGCTGAAATTAGTATACCAGGAAGGCTTACTGAATACTGAAGAGACCAATATGGTCCATAAGAAAAACCAAATGGAGAATAGTTAGAAAAAAACATAGCAGGTAACCAGATAACAACAAGACCTGGCAATGACTAAGTGCAGGAAAGTTGAAAAAAGACACAGAGGGGCTAATTCTGGATGCATAAGATCAAGCTTTAAAAACAAATGCATACAAAGCCAGAATTGAGAAGACAGCAACAGACAGCAAATGCCACCTTTGCAAAAAAGCTGAATAAACAATGGACCACTTTATTAGCTGCTGCAAAAAGATCACATAGACTGACTACAAATAATGGTGCATTAGAATATCTGCAAGAAGTACCATTTGTCCACCATCAAGAAAACCACAAAATGCACAAAGTAAAAGAAAAAAAAGTAGAAGTTAAAGTTATCTGGGATTTTAGAATTGAAACAGACAAGCACCTGCCACACAACACTCCAGACTTAAAAACTGTTAATAAGAAAAAAAAATCTGGATAATGGATATTGTGGTACCTAGAGATAGCAGAAGAGAAAAATTGGCAAAAACTACAAAATATAAAAAGTTACAAGTAGAAATAGAATGACAGTGGCAAAAGTAAACAAAGATAGCACCAGTGAGTAACAGACTCATTGCGTGCAAACCCAAAGCACCACTTGAACACCATCAACATTGACAAAATTGCTTGCAAAAGGCAGCTTTCCTTGGAACAGCTTACATCTTGTGACAATACAATTAATATTAAACAACATTATCTGCCTATCCTAAGTCCTTTGGACGGACTTAATAAGTGGACAAAATGCCATGTCCAATCTAAACATCTGGCTAGCTGTCTGACCAACCATAATTTATTATTAAATTTATGTGCCACTCCTAGTGACCCTAGGCAATTCACAATTGTTAAAACATTTAAAAAACAAAGAACAATACAGAAACATAAAAACAACACAAGACAAAGGGACAAGAATGGCAGGGGGGAACAGAAAGGAAGAAAGGGGCATCAATCATCCTCTCTAAAGGCTTAAACTACAGGAAGACCCAGTTCTTGAAGGACTTGTAAATCTCAGTAGAGTTGGAGCTGTTCAAATGTTGGGGAGGGGGACCAAAATATTTCTACCTTACTTTTAGAATAGAAAAATTACTTTTTGAACATAAGTTGAAGAATTCTATATTTAGTGAGTAGTTTAGAAATTTTTAGTCCTATTTCCGGATTTTGATCAGAACATCTTAGTGCAGTTTTGAAAGATTGTCAACTTAACATGCAAAGATGGTAATACTGTCATTAAAGGTAATTCCTTCTCTGCAGGAACTTGACTCTCTAATTCTTCCATTACTGAGGGCTATTGTCAAGGTTGCTAACATCAGATGTTCTTGTTTGACAATATATGAAGAAGCAGACATGTTTTATTTAACCTGTGTATCACTTCTAGAGTTAAAGTCAGACAATGTTAGAAGGGAGAGGAGAAAGTATGTACTCGGGGAATAGTTAGCCATAACAATATTTCAGTACACTATTTTCAAGGTCAGTTGTAACCAGAGGAGATACAGGAGGGAAAGTTCACACTTCAAACTAATTGGAGAACGTGATTGATGATTGTTAAATGAAGGAGTGAGTTATGCTTTGTTACGGGTGATTGGGGGAAGGAGTATTCAGTTTTTGGCTTCATTATGTACTTGCCGAAGCAATGTAGCAATAAAAGGATTCTTTAAGGTAAACAAGGCCTCAGAGTTCTTTGAAAAGCTTCTTCTTTCGGAACCATGACAGCTATTCTATATCAGTGACTTTCTTACTAGAATCAGTTGGGAACAATTGTCTAGTTCAAGCCTTGTCCAGTTCGATATTGCTTGAAATGTGGAAAGAATTTTTTTTCAGCAGGTGATACAGGGAGAAGTAGAGCTGTCTACCTAGAAAAGAAAATCTCTTTGTCCTGGTCATACCATACCTTAGGGATTCTTGTAAAATATTTTAAAATACATTTAATTGATTTCCATTTGAACCTAGATTTATGAATGTTTTACTCAAGAATGTTGTTTGGGGAACTAAAATTAGCCACTAGCTGCTAACCTCTAACTAGCTGCAGTGGAGATGTTTGAAAAATTAATTTAGAATATCAATTACTTATGATATAACAACACTGATGTTTTCCTAAAATATGTTTTAACTATAAAACAGTATAGTTTTGATTTCTGTGGTGCTTACCTAGAAACAGAAGCTAAAATAAATTTTCCTTATTTTATTTCAAGATGTGATTTTGACAGATAGCTGTTACTTTGAAGTATGAGTATTCTTTTCTTCAGGAAAAAGATGTTTTGTATTGTCTCTGGGAAGGTCATTGCACAGTAGGATCCAACATATTCTTTAAATGAGCAATAGTTGAACAAGGATGAATTCCTTCAACAGATATGGCAAACCACACAATTACCATTTCAGGGACATTTCTTTGTGCTGGACTGATTTACATGGACCATCCATACTTCTTTCCTCTGAGCCATTGTACAAAGTGCTAGTTAATCATTTGTTAATTAACTAGTTAATCTAAGTTTTCTAATGGCACATAGAACCCTTGTTTCAGTTTGCTGC